CGCTACTGGTTCCAAATGAGCACCGCCTCTCTCAGGGCCTTCAGCACAAAGAACGCATGAGCAGCCGCCAAGGCACCAGCTGACACTTGGTGCCACCACACATAACTAGGCATCTGGGACCCAGAACATGTGTTCTGTCAGTCGCTGGTAGAACTGAGCACCAGGCCCCATGTGCTGCTGGAAATCCTACAGCCTCAGCACTGAGGGCTCTGGGGGCCATACAGGTCTGGCGCCTCTTCCTTCCTCATTCTGTCAGAGCAGGATTTGCTCATCTGGCAGTGACACCACACACATCCTTTCCCGCCACTTCCTGGAAGGAGGATGTGTGTGCTATTTGTATTTCCTATTGAAGACACTTATCACCAAGGTGAGATAAACATATACAAGAATATATAATGTATATGCATGATATAAGTAAGACGTATCCAAAACACAGCTTGTATTTTGTCCTAAAAAGTCGTTTACGAGTTTTAGAATACCCGCTGAGGATAGAATATTCTATTTGAACCTCCATTTTAAAGACATACTACACCCTTCACCAAATAATTCAGATATCTTCTCCAATCGCCTTTTGCAAGGAGCTCCACACTTGTGTCCATGTCACATACGGAAAGCAACAGCCCTTGGGAAGAGTTTGGCTGTCCTGAATGCACTCTTCCAGAAACACTAGTTGTCATTTCGCTGTGAGATGCAGACTTTCGACAGAATAAAGACCAAAGAAGAAGAAACAGAAAGAAGAAAACAAAACTGAAAGTTGAAATTTAACCGATTCAGGTACTTAAAAAAAATAAAAATAAAAATAAAAAGTAGTACCGGTAAATGCTTCCTCCCCCAGAATTAAGAAAGCACGTCCGCCCGGGAGCCAGCGCCTGACCGCAGCACGCTGCTGTCCCGCTGGAGATGGGTGAGAAACCGACGGGAAGGGCGCTGCGGTGCGGCTGCCTGCAGGAGCTAGCGCTGAGAGCGGGGCGGTGGGCACAGATGCGAGCCCGCAGCTGTTCCCCAGGCGGAAACCAGCTCCCCGAGCAGTTCCGTGCCGAGCCGCGGTCCCACGGCCGCCGCACGGCACAACACCGACGGCCGAGAGATGCAGCCCCCCCGCCCCACACCCAACTCCGAGGGCTTTTTGTTCCCGAAGTCAGAGCGGGCTGGACCGGGCCCAAGCGCCCATCCCGAGCACTGTGTGAGAGGAGCGGCGGACGGACAAGTCCGAGCTGGCGGGCGGGGGCTGCGGCTCGTGAGAAGTTGGGGGGTGGAGAAGAGCAAACAAATAAAATCAAGAAATAAAAGGGGGAAAAACCCCACTCTCCCTCTGGCGGCGCACTCATCGGCGCCGCTGCCTTCCCGCAGGTGCCCCCCGCCGCGCCCCCCCCCCCCCCCTCGAGGCCCGGCCCCGCTCACCTCATGGCGTGGCTCGGCGGGGGCTGCCGCTGCCCCAGCTCCGGGCCGGGGAGCGCGGCGGCGGCGGCGGCGGCGACAGAAGCTGCTCCCGTCCTTGCGGCGGTGCCCGGCCCCGGGGAGACGCCTCGCTGCGGGGCGGGGGAGGCCGGGCCGCGCAGGGCCGGGGGCGGGCGGGACGCCGCGCCTCCCTCCTTCCCCTCTCCGCCTCCTGCGGCCCCGCCGGCAGCCGCGGCTGCCCCCGGGAGCGGGCATGGAAGAGTCGGGCTGGGTACGGACCTGGGCCGGGGGTGTTAGTTTTGCCGCTCGCGGTCTGCTAACTTTTTTTTTCTTGAAGATGTCGCAACTCGCAGCTTTAAATCTTAAAAACTGTTGTTGTTGTTGTAATCGTAATGAGTCGTCAGTACTTCACGGGAACCGCAGAAATGTCCCCTTTTTCATTGGCCGTAGTTTTTTGCTTTAAAGGAAGGCACTTCATGGCATTAAAATTTCCCATTTTGTACCGTTATCTTCGGTCTCTGCTGCTGACAACAAAAGTGCTGAGCACAGCACTCAGTGAGCAGAGCGCACTTGCATGTGCATGTTCAGGGAGCACTTCCACCAACGCAACTTTTGTCCCTGGCTTCTGGTCCTGTCACGGGGCATCCTTCTTGGGGCACTGCTTCCCCTGCTGCTCCACAACCGCCATTCTGCACCGAAAAACCACAATTAGACACACCTGAGCCTTCTCTTCTCCAGGCTGAACACATTCAACTCTTTCAGCCTTTAAGCTCTCAGTTTGATCATCTCTGTAGCCCAATACTGGCCTCAAGTTGTGTCAGGAGAGGTTCAGGTTAGCTATTAGGAGAAATTTCTTCTCAGAAGGAGATGTGATGCATTGGCATAGGCTGCCCAGGGAGGTGGTGAAGTCACCGTCCCTGGAGGTGTTCAAGAAGCATGGAGATCTGGCACTTAGCAACATGGTTTGGTAGGCATGGTGGTGATGGGTTAACAGTTGGACTAGATGATTATAAAGATCTTTTCCAACTTTAATGACTCTATGATTCTAACAAGTGCCAAATAGAGAGGAACAGTGGTATCCCACACTCCATTGCCTATGCTTTTGCTGATGAAGTCTGGCACGTGGCCTGTCTTCCATACAATCTTTACTGAGCTTGTGAGCCACCAGCACCTTCAGACCATTTCAGCAGTGCTGCTCCAGGCAGTCATAGCCCAGCCTAACCCAACGCCCTGCTTCTACATAAGATGGGACCAGGGGCTATCTCCAGGGATCCCTTCTACTCTTCCCCTTTGAGTCAGTACACTGTGTTTCAGGGAATGCTAGAGGTGCCCTGGCCATGAGAAACCAAACTGGAATGGTTTCAGTACTTCACTGCTACAGATTTTCACACAGGCATAAAGGTGCTTGCTGCAGGAGGGCAGGACAGGGATCATGGCTTCATAAACACCACACAGCCATTGCCATATACTGCTGTATGCTACTGTTGTTAATACAGCTTCTGCAGACTCCTAAGGATGCAGCCATTAAAGGTGGGCGAGGTAAGGTCCATGCTTAGCACATGCACATAAGCAAGTGTGCAAACACTTTCACAACTGTATTTTTTTTATCTGTTCCTTCCCCAGCTCTTTGAAACCTGTGATTTCTGTCAGCAGCAAAACAGCTGTGAATTTTAGTCTCAACAGATTGCTCCCAGTCTGTCACTGCAATGGAGAAATGTAGTCCAGTTTGGTCCATCCACGTCAAGAGGATTTCGAGGGGAATTCCAAATGGACACTCTCTGTATCTTTCCCACTTCTCAAGCAGTTGCTGAAGTAAACATGGAGCTAATCTGCTGAGCTGGTTGTTGGAGCGATGCTTTGGCTCTTTGCAAAGAAATCAATAGATGGAAACCAGATGGATACAGACTTACTGGGACCAGCAGCTTTTGGTACAAACACACAAAGATGAGCAGCCTTTCTGGGTATGAATGCTCTTTCTGATGAGTGGCAAGCCTGGGCACAGCTAAAGAGGAACCAGCACTCAAAAGCAACTGTGCTCAGCTCCTCTGAGCTACAGATGCTCTTTTGTACAAAGTTCAATGCCCAAATTAACTTTGTGTCCTGTTTCTGATGGTTCCTAGGGAAAGCCCCCATGCTGGCTCCAGCACACACATGTGCTGCTTATCAATTAGAAAGCCCAAAATCCCACGATCTCCTTGAGGACTTTGATGGGTGACTTCAACTGCTGGCTCCTAACACTGTAAATACGAGTTTGTAAAGGCTGACACTTTGGGGATCTAATGCAAAGGGAAGTCCAGGTGGGTGTCACTACAGAGCAACTAACAACCTGGAGCAGGTAAGAGTAGTGCCTTTCCATGCATTCTGGAGCCTGTCCTGCCTTCTAATGCCTGCGGTGCTGTCCCTTCGGTCCCCTCCCGCATCCTTCACACACCCCTGGCATTGTGCTGCTGGGGTATTGACTGGGGAGAAGGATTGCAGATCTTGGGAATGGCCCCAAGCTGCCTGATACAGTGCTGGCCAGCTCACTTGCTGTGACAGCTGCTCCTGGGTACACAGATCAGAGAGAAGGGATGTGGAAGGCAAGTGTCAGGAGAAGTTTTATGAAATTTTTACTTTGTGGCTTCATGGTTCTTTAAAAAACATTACCTATTGCAGCAGGCTTAACCACGATACTCCCTGATCACCTTGATTATTGGGATATCTTCCTATTTCTGTGGAAACCTGCTTGAAGCTTACCTGAGAGCAGCGACTATACTTGTTCTGTTTGATTTTAATGTAAACACCAAAGAGAAGCTCCATCCCAGAACCTGAGCTTCTTTCCACCTTCAAATAACCATCCTCAGACTGCCCTTGGGCTGCTGTCCCATCCATCTCACATCCACTTTGTGTAAAAGCTTTTAAGTTCTCAGCACTCCAAAGTTCTCTTCCACACTTCGTAATTCAAGGTGGAATTCATCACCAAGTCCTTAGCACTATCAATTTCCTCTCCAGAATAGCGTGCCTACGTGGTACAGAACTATCGTAACTATACACTAAAATCAGAACTGGGTTTAAGGTACACATATTGAGCATACTACAGTACAGTTCTGAAAACCTGTTAAAAGAGAGTCTGGAACAACAGAAAAAGGGTATACTTAAGAGGAAGATGAGAATATACTGGCAAAAAACACTTATGTCTGAACTAGGTCTGCACGATTACAACAGAAGGCTGGGTGGAGCCTCCACAGCAATTCTACCAGAATAGGCTTGAGGGGAAACAGTCCTGAGCATCTTGCTCAAGAATTTGTGCATGATCCAGCTCTTGGAGTTTGATAAAGAAATGTGTATGTCAGCTACAAGGCTCATGTGTTCACATAGCCAGCTCTCCTCTTTTTCTCACCTCCCTTAGCATGAGAACTACTATAGCCTTTTGGTAGATAGAATAAAAGTTGCTGTTGAAGATGAGTGAAGGAAGGTTGTTCAAGTATGAAAGAAGGGATAGGAGAGACCTGTTAGTTGTGGAGACAGTAATATCTGTGTCACAGTTTTCACTTACTTCTGAATTCTGGGTCAGTGCAAATATTTGTGAATTCAGATACCTAATATGAAAGGCATTGCTTTTTAATAAAAAGACATAAAGGTGAAGTCTTAACACAGGAGTTAGCATCCAAGAATAAAGGCTGGTGAACCAAGCTCCTCCATTCTGCCAGGCTGTTGGTTGTTCTCAAGAACTGGCATTTCTCCATATGCAAAATGAATGCTTAACATTCTGGAAAAAATACAGTAATTACATTTTATTAATGACAACTTGCTCTTGAAAAGTATCTCATCATCTGCCTTTGGGGCTCCTGCCAAGGGGCCAACTGACCACAGCTCCCAGAACTGTAGCACTGCAGGGGGACCCAGAAAGCCCAAACTCCACCTCTGTTTGCAGTGCATAGTTGCTGCATGCCCTGAGCAAGCCCCATCCACAGCACCCAGAGGGTGCAGGAACCTGAACATGGACAAAGATGACAATCATCATGAGAAAATTAGAGCTGCTTTCCCCAGAAGGGCAGGTGCCAGGCAATCTCCCATCAAAAACCAGGCACAAGGATCGTTCTAGCATTCAGCTGTGTACCATCGTAGCACACAGAAATTAGGTACAACAGCTTTGAGGAGCTGGCGCCTCCTCCAGCATGGACAGAGTGGGAGGCCCCCCTCTTTGCATTTTTAATCAAAAGCACAAGATCTTAAATCTTCCCATTCACCAGAAGAGCTTCATCAGCCAGTGTTTCCATCACCTCTCTGGCGATGTGAGATACAACTTTCAAGTCTTTGGTTTGGGGGAAGAAATGCTGAAGAGAACCCCAGAAAAACAAATAATGGCAGTATGAAGAAGCAGCTTCTGACCCAGGACAGAAACAAACAGTGGGCAATCAGCCTAGCCATACGGCAGGGGAGAGCATATGGCATTCTCAGGAAAGCAGAGACTTCTTTGGCCCCAGCACAGAGGACACCATTGCAGTTTGGTTTGCCAAACTGAAATGTTCATGGTTGTAGGATGCTAAGAGTTTCTTTTCTAACACATTTTTAATGGCTGCTTTTTGTAATGAAAAACAAAAAACTGTTTGAAGTCAACTCCCAAGCCCTTGGGAGGCCATACAAATTTGTGTTGGCAAATGTCATTGATGAGAATTTTTCCCTTCATTTTTACTGCTGCAGGCCTGGCCATCAATGCAGAACACGTGGATCTTAAGTTCCTCTTTCAGTGGCTATCAGCAGAGAAGAAAGATGCATGATAAAGTTTAATGTGTTCATTCTCTTAGTCTTCCTCCTCTCCCTCATTAATTTGAAGCACATGGCCACTGAAGAATGGTTTCAGGAACATAAAGGCTAGCTTTTTCATACCTCAGCTCAGGTCTCTGATCCTGAAGCCTACAGAGATCCCATCAAAAACCAAGTACAGCATGAAGGCCTCCCTTTTGTCCTTAGTTATTGTGTGAGGTTAGGATGAAACACAGCAGATCATAGCTGATAGACAAGAACTGCATTAAAACTATTTTAAAACCTTTTTTCCAAAAAATACAACAATCAAATATAAAATAATCGTCCTGAATAGTAACCATAAATTCAAATGAAGTAAAAATGCAAGGCATACAACTTTTACAATAATTTAAGAATATATAATAGTGCCATAACTTATTTAAACACTTGAATCATGAAACACTTCAAGTAAATTTTCATTTACAATTCTCATGAAGCAAGTCACACAGCCTTTAATTACCTAGAAAAAATTAGCCTGAAGAAGTCATGACAAAAATCTCCAACACTGTGAGAACAAAAATCAGTGCAAAATCCAGGTCCTACTGAAACTGACATAACTTCCCACTGATTTCAATGCCTAAACCTGATTTTTATTTCCAGTCACATGTCAAAAAAGCAAATTATTCTCAGATACTTAAATAGGAACTCAGTGAGTAATGACTACCTTAATTTCATACACGATGCATTTTGCTGGATGATCAGAGGAATCAGTGGTAGATGAAAAACCAATCACACTATGTTGAAATACCAGCAACTTAGCAAACAGAGGAATACTCCAGCTTCAGAAAACATCTATGTGTCTATCTACAATCTGTAATATATGATTACAATTTAACACAGGCATATCTGCTGATCCTCAAACCACTTAGTGGATTTGTTGCTGGTTACATCTCATTATTTCAAATTTTCAACTATCTACAGAGACAGGCAAATACGAGACCATCCAAGTGAGCTTCTCCATGTACATCACATTTGAGTCTGGATGTTAGAGCTCAGGCTGGAAGACAGGCAGGGTGTGCCTTTGAAGCCACAAGCATGAGTGGTTCACAGAAAAAATGTGGACATCCTTCCTTAGGGTATGAGATGTGAAGCAGGTGCTTATCTCTGCAGGTGTCATTCCTGAGATCTTTCTTGGGTTTGGGTCTGGCCTGCTGGGTTAGCAGACATCTCCTCTGTACTGCAGAGAGGACATAGCACAGGGCAGGCTGGACAAGCAGGGACTGGTTCCACCACTACAACCAGCAAGGAAATGGTGTTGCTGCAATGGAGCAGCAATGCACTTTTACGAGTTGGAATGCCCCATTTGAAAAGCTGGCCTAGGAGCAGCCAGGAAGGCAGTGCAGGTGCATTTTTTAATTCATGTCTGGTATCAATGGACCATCAAAGAAGAGTGATGAGAAAGAAAACTAAGGCTGGGCTTAGCACAGGGCTCAGCCCCTTAGCAGGGGAGGCTGAGGAAAATTTTGCACGGGCAGGTGTTCCCAGAGAACTCTTTAGAACTTGAAGAGTGTCAGGAAGAACAGTGAGTAACATAAGTGGAAAGAAACTTAAGTGCTGTAGCAGTTATTTTTTAAAACAAGCAAGGTAAGAACATTTCTGTTCTTAAAACATGATCAAAGCACTTGCGAAGGTTACCAGGATGCTCTCAATATCCTTCTCATGTCTTTCTAGAGTGGGATGTGGGACAGCATTACTTCTCACTTGTAAACATCTCTGGTTTTAGATGGCTTGTATTGTCTAGAAGAGCATAGGATTTCATTGCCATTCATGACACTAGTAAACACTCGACTCTTTCAGCCTGAAATCAGCAACATTAATATTTGGAAAACATGTTTTAATGCTGTACTGCTGACTGGATTCATTCTTCAGCATGCCTACACCACAGTACCTGTAAATAGAGAGGATGATTACTTGCCTGCTTGCTAGTCAGTTTCTGAGTCCTCCATTTCTTCTTGATCGGCTTCCTCTAACTGGAAAGTGATGTGACGCGAAGCCTGTTCCTCAGCAGCAGGTAGGTCAGTCTCTTCATCTGCTGTGACTGCTTGGTCAGCAGCTTCTGTCTCAGCAGCCACCTGTGGTGCACTGTCTGTTGGCCTGCGCTCCTCAGCAAGTGCCTCTCTCTGATCAGGCAGAGGTTTCTGGCTAAACACATCTAAGCGTTTTTCAGTCACTGTACGAATCAATGCTGAAATAGAAAAAAGTATCATTAACAAACAGAATTAAAAAACACTGTCATTTGAAATTATTTATACATTGCTGACCTGTGAATTCTTGGGCAGAGGGAAAAAAAAAATAAAAAGAAATAATACTAACAATGAAAGAATGTGTGGATAAGCAAAATCATCCCTGCTGCTGTAGCCTAATTACAACCAAAGGTTTGCACTGAAAGCAGTGATTTGGAAGGGTTCACCTGGACTGCCTTGTACATCTCTTCATTGTTGTCTGGTCACTTTTGGAACAGGTCACCCTACAAGGTGAATTAGCCAGGTTGCATGTCGTGTGATGTTTTTGGCAGAGGGTAATACTGGAACTGTGGGACTCATCAAAAAGACTTTCTATTTCTGAAAAGCAGCTGTAAAACATCTGTTCTTTATTATTTTTGTTGTTTTGCCTTTGTAAGTTTTTCTAAACATTGTACCTCTTCCAAACCAATGAAAACAACAATAATTCAACATTCACTTTGAAATACATCATTTAAACATGGTAAATAAAGAGACCAATGATGGAGGAAGAGGGCTTTAGTATAGAAAAAGGAACAATATACCAGAAGATACAGATACCAAAAGAAGATTCTTTGCTAGTTTTGGGGTTGAGTTTTGCATCACTTGAGAAGACAAACGTAGCCACCTTAGATCGTGGATGCTTCCTTCTAATTCACAGGTTTTTTATTGGATGGTGACAAAATTAGCCATTTATGTAGCTTCTAAATGCAAATTACTTAAAAATATATCCTTAGAGAATTCTCCTATAGGAATATAGAATTCTCACCATCCAATAAAAAGTTCTCCTATAGGAGAATTCTCTATTATAGGAGAGAAAATTCTTTCCCTCAAGAAGAAATCCTTTAAGAAGTGGTTCTTAAGTGTACACACCAACACGTATGTCACAGGATAAAAATACTAACATTGCAGCTGTAGCTATCTGAATTGGACCTCAACAAAGAAAATACTGGGTCCTGGTTAAGCTGAAATTAACCCAAAGGAAACAAACACAATTGTAATTCAAATCCGCAATCACTGCTTGAGGTAAAACTGCAAGAATGAATATGTAATGCATACATAATGGGTTTGGCCTGGTGGATACACATTCATCATAATTTTGTGCTTCTACAAAAGACAGTCTTAGATTATCCAGGTATTTCAGTGCAGCCTCTGAAGACTGACCAATAGAAGAACCCACATGCTTGGTCCAAAACAGCCCAAAAGAAAGCAGAGAGTGATATTTTAATCTGCTTCAAAAGCAAGGACTTGATTATTAATTGCTGGAGTAGTAAGCTCTTGTTCTGATTAAAAGTGCTGGTCACCTGACCTTTCTGTCATCATGCTGAAGGTATTGCAACTCTCAGCAGCAACGCATATCAAACAATGCAAAGCCAGCAGAGAGAGAAATTAGTGCAGCATGTTTGGCAATTCTAATACTTCAGGTGAGAATCAATCATTTAATGGCTGCAGTAGTGATTTTCCCAAATTTAAAAACATTTTTTAATGTAAAAATAAGTAAGTAGAAAACCCAAAAGCAAACATACGAAGCCACAGGCGCTTGGACTTCTTGTTCAAATGACACCTGCTCACTTAGTCCATAATGAGCATACAAACGTTCCATTTGTTTTGGCTGGAGAAAAAACAATTACAAATAAGGAGCCCAGATTAACTGATAACTTACAGTCAAGCATCACCCTTCCCAGAGTCTTCTTTTCTAGTGTTTCTTCCACTTCTGTCATCAGCCATGGCAGGAATTCTGTCTCAATGTCTGTAAGAATTTGGCAGAAAGAAAGCAAGAAAAAGCATCTGCTTACTAAGGATGAGCAACGGGATCTCTGGGCTGTTTTTCATTTGCTGTGACCATTAAGGGATGAACAACCCTGCCAGAAGATACTTGCTTTGCAAGAGCCAGATGAAATCTCTCAGGATTTGTTAGGTGCCTTGTCTCCTGCCTCTCTTACTGAGATTCCTCATCATTATGGACCTAAACCAGAGTCCTCTCAACTTCACTGATTTTCAAAGGGGCTTGGCATCCCCAAAGAGCAAACACAAATGAGATGCACAATAATGTTCTAGCTAGATGAAAATAACTACCCTGAGCAAGTCAGAAGAATAACATTTCCTGCTCTGCTTTCCAAGTACATCTGGCTTCTAGTCTGCTGAAAGCATTTGTTCTCTCTGACTAAAGAGCTCTTGCTTACTTCAGTCATGCTTTTCACGTGTAACAGTCCCAAACCCCGCTCAGTTTGCAAAACACACTCAGTTTCTGCATTTGCCTTCTGACTCATTCTGGAGAAAGTGCACCCATTTCCAAACTGGAGTCTGAGCACCTGTACAGGAACTGGATAAGTGGGGCGCATCAACGTAACCCATAAGAAATGCTGCTGACTCTGAAAGCTTGAAAGTTCCTGATGTACAACTCTAAAATTATTTGCAGAGTCTAATTCTTATTGACCATTTTTTCCTTTGTTCCAGCAATCGTTAACAAAGATTCAGAGTGACATACATATTTCTTCACTTATCCTATCAAAATACACTTAAACAGTTTGGATCCCTCTCTCCTTCTTTCTCTACCAGTCCTAAACAGCCATTTGTTTCTACCAAAATAAAAGCAGCTCTTCTCATTATAAGCAAAACTGTCAGTTCTTACATATTTTTGAACACTTGGTGCAGGTAACCAATGTTTGTATTAAAACTGTGAGTTTGAAAACTACCTCTGCAATCAAAAATGTAAATGAATAAAGCATTCTTACATTATTCTAAATAATAAGACTGTAAAGTATGTGTGTCTATGGATGGTTTGACTTCTATATTACTCCATATATTAAAAAAATAAAGTACAAACCTCTTTCTATAGGATCATAGAAAAAGCCACTCTCGTGAAGATTGTTGAAGACTGAGGGAATAAGATCAGCCAAGTAACGCTTAGCAAATGCCTGAGCTGCAATTTTCTCCATGGTCTCTTTCTCTTTCTGCAGCATTTGCATCTGCAGCTGTTTGCAGCGTTCCTGTCAAGACAATACTGCACTTCAGTTTTCAGCCCCTCAGCTCTTTTGATCTAGATTTTGAAAAATCATCAGTGTGAAACTCATAAACAGCAGAGATCATGACAGTACCAATACTTAAAACTTCTGAGCTAGATGCCAGTATCTGTGGCCTCTAACTTTCACAAAAAACTCCTTGAATGCCTGATCATGGAGTGCAAGGACTAGAGGAATCCCTTGATACAGCTTTTTTAATTTTGGCAAGTCTGTAAATATAAGGGTCTTATGGCTGGCTAAATGAAATCCTTCTCCGATACCTTATCATCCACTGATATCTCAACTGCTAGATTACTGCAGATAGAGCTGATTGATGCCCTTGGAATAAGGTGAGGTTGGGTGAAAATTTCATCAACTTTTCACTTTTCCAATTTTATATACTATTTGACGTAAGAAAAAATGAAAACGTAGGTTGGGCCAGGAAAACAATAATAACATTAACATTATTAACCCAAATAAACAAATTAAGACTTGTCATTTCTATTTGTTTCTACTTGCTAGATACTAGTAACATATTTTTGTACTTGGAGATCTGGAGAGGTATGTGTGTTCATACAATAGCACATGCATTCTGTGTGAAAGAACACCAGGTGCTTCTTGCCTTCAAGCACTCTGACTACTCATTTAGATATTATCATAATGAACAGGCTTGAGTAACAGCTGCACAATACTGTCAGGTTTGGCCTCCTGATCAGGTGCCTGAGTTCACCAAGTCACTTGAGCATGACTGCTCTAATTGGACAGAACAGTACAGAGCAGGCCTATATGACAGCAAGGTTCTATTTGAAGCCAAGGTTCTACGTGGCACCAAAATGCTTTCAGGAACATCGAACTTGACAATACCCTTCTGCCCCCATTCAGCTGATTTCAGAGCTCATCCTTCAGTACTGGACATGGTGAGCACTCTCACAGGCCTGTTTCACACATAATCAGACTTACCTTCTCTTCTCTGTATCGCCTGTCTTGCTCTTCCAGGCGCTGGACCTCAGCCAGCTCTGCATTGCGCAGTTCTGCATAGGCACGCTGATGTGCCCACAGCTTGGCCAGCTCTTCTTCTTCCATGACTTCCAGCAAAGCTTGCTCAATGGTTTTCCCAATCAGCACTTCCAGGATTGGCTTGACTTCAATGTCAAAGTCAAAGAGCTGTGGATGAGAGTCAGTGAAACAAAAAATAAATGACCCCTTACCACGATCCCTCTCAACATCTTGGCAAGGAGCAAAGGAGGATGATCAAAACACCTCGCAGAAAGAGGTGATGAGAAGCGGAGGTAGGGATCCAGCATCATCTAAGACGAGAAGCATGAATGCTGCTGGGGTCTAAGTGACGAGTGAGCTGGAATAAGACACCACATATTCTGCTGCAGTCACTTAGGGCACTGTCAGGGACAAGCAGAACACTCACCTGGACCCTACTGCTACTCCCTTTTGTGTTTCTAGCCCTTCTGGCTGGATGCTATTTCCACAGAGGAGAACACTTTTCAGTATTGTGGTTCTTAGCTGAAAGCAGTAGAACCTGTGTTTGTTCCTCAGTTTTGCATGGTTTCTTTTGCATGTTCTACAAGATGTTCCTTTCTGGTTTTGTCTCAGATTTGTTCGATATAGGAAATATGCTTTACCACTACTTGTGTATGTGACTTTGCTTCATACCTCTCCTTCTTCTATTTGTGTGGCCACATCTTTCCCTGTTTTGGCTGGCACGAAGAAAGGAGTGGGAGGTCTATCCAAAAATGCATCTGTTTGACATTCCACATCAACCTCTATTATCCGGTCACTTATCTCTTCCAAATACAGCTCTAGAAATAAAACAGAAGGAATGCTCTACATTGGATTCTTTTTTATTTTATTCCTCAGCTATTCCTGATTACTGTACTGGGTGAACTATATACAAAGATGTATAAATACTATATATGCTGCAAAGTTGTTTCTATAAAGTTACCAAAAAAACACAAAACAAAAAAAAAAAACCAAAAACCAAATGCAAATTAACACACACAAAAAAAAAGCTCTCAAAACAATTTGCTACATAAGCCATTTGATGCCATACTTTCTGTAGCATCTGGTACAGTTCTTGGAAATTACTCCTAAACCCATTCACCCGGTTTCTAAAGAGACCCTACACCGTTTTCAGTCCACCTCGAAGAGTAAACAATTCTTGGTAGAGTGTAGGAGGCAGTGTAACAGTAGAGGTACTGGGATATGGCAATTTCAAAAATGGACAATGATTATACTACTAATTTACTAACCATCTACTCACCATTAATAGTAATAAAGCCATAGATTTTTCTCCATTGCATAGAGAAGACTAGATCTCCAGAACACTGGATCTGATGGATTTTTAAAAAATGACACAGTCCTTCCGGGCCAACTGGAAGTAGCTTTGAGGTAACTAAATATATATAGCACCCTGTGCTTGACTTCAATTATATGTCTGTTTCCCACTACAGAGATTAATCAGCACTAAAAGATGGGAAAAAAGAGACCACGATAACCACACTAGGCTGCCTCCTTCTGTGCCCAACAGAATTTCAATGGTGAAAAATCATTGTACATTGGAGGGGGGTTCAGTTGTGCTGTGGCACAGAGAATGCTCACAAAACCAAAGCCCACATCTGGTTAGCACGTACCACAGCTGTTTTCCCAGTTTATAAGACAATCTGAAATGCTTTTCTGAATGGCACAGCAATACATTGTGCTCACCCCATGATCACCCCCTGACAAATGTTGGTCTTGCTGCAAATAAATTGTTTGCTCACAAATAGTGCAGCTTCCTACTTTAAATTAGGGCCACTGCCCATCCTTCTTTCCCTTCCCCCTAGTAATTTTTAATACTAGTCTTACTAGAAGAACACACCTCTATTTGAGCTATACTTCTCTGATGATACTGGAAAAGGAATGAATAAATGAATTGTTGAATAAATGTGCACTGAGAATTGAAAAACAGACATTCTTGAAAATAAAAAAAAAGTCACTCTCATTAGCCACATTTATTAGTAATTAAACAGAACTAAAAATAGGGGGTTTATAGTGGAAAGGATGAGAGAACCTTACCCTTAATTGATTCTACCAATTGAATTATCACTTTAGTAAGTAAATTTACACCAGAAAGTTTTTGTTCTCAGATGAATTTTTTTTTTAAATCATCCCTTACCTGTCTGCACATGAACGTGCTCTCTGCCTTCCACAGGCTCAGGTGTTCTTAGCTGTATTTGCTCTTCTGCTCTCTTTCTAGCCAATGCTCTCCTCCGTGCTTCTCTCTGCCTTTGAATCTCAAATGCATTGGGATGATGGATACACTGGACAGGGGTGAACAACAAAATAAATAAGAAATACACCGCCATGCACTTGGTACTTGGAAATACTACTAATTTCCCTTGCAAATGAAGCCTGTTGGTGTCTTCAACATTACAAATCTAGTATTTCAGATTTATTTTTCAGTTTAGACTGATTCTAAATTGTCAATTCCCTTAAAGACTAGTGCATGAAACTAACAAGATGCACTGGATACCTACAGGCGTACTTTAATGGCACCTCATGCTACGATAAAACAAGATGAAGCATATTAAAATGGCTTATTGTCACTCAGCTGCGAGCTTCCAGGTGAAGCTTGAAGAAGGTGAAATGGACTTTCCCCAACACAGGAAAGATGGGGAGCTTCTGGAGAGGGTCCAGAGGAAGGCCATGAAGATAATCAGAGGGGTAGAGCACCCTACTAAGATAGACTAAAGGAACTGGGCTTCTTCAGCCTGGAAAAGGGAAGGCTGTGGGGAGACCTCTTTGCAACCTTCCAATACTTGAAAGGAGTTTATAAACGTGAGGGAAATTAACTTTTTACATGGGCGGATACTGACAGGACAAGGAGGAATGGAGTTAAACTAAAGGAAGTGAGATTTAGATTAGATGTCTTGGGGAAGTGTTTTTTTTGTTTGTTTGTTTGTTTGTTTTTTAACTGAGAGAGTGGTGAGGTGCTGGAACATGCTGCCAAGAGAGGCTGTGGCTGCCCCATCCCCTCAGGTGTTCAAGGCCAGGTTGCATGGGGCTCTGGGGAATCTGATCCAGTACTTGGTCTAGCGGTTGGCAACCCCATCTGTGGCAGAGGGCTTGGAACTTCTATAATTGTATGACTTCAGTCCAGTTATTGCAATATCAACAGAATTGTTTGTTAGATTAAAAAAATCTAGAAACTTGATTGCTGTTGAAGCAAAAGACATCCACACTACTAAATTCAGCGCTTTGTGGGCTGGAAGGAAAATACCTTTTGAACTTCATAAACAGAACACATGAAAATAGCTGTTTGAAACAACTAAGAAATAATACAAAGCTATTCCCATACAACTGCTTTTAAGAACTGACTACTTTAAATTCCCTACACAAACAAAGCATCCACGTAGAAATAATCTCTGAAAATCACAGAATCGTTCAAGTTGAAAAAAGTGATAATTTAGTCTGACCGTCTCAGCACCCATCCCTCCGTGCCCACTGACCACATCACTCAGCACCACATCCACACGGATCTTGAGCACCTCCAGGGTCGGTGACTGCACCCCTCCCTGGGCAGCCTGCGCCACTGCCTCGCTTATCTTTCTGAGAAGAAACGTTTCCTAATACCCAACCGAAACCCTCCCTGGCAAGAGAAACTAAGGCGCTGCTTCCCAACGCAGCTGTGGGATGATGCCCGCGGAGAACCTACCATCGGCACTGCCTGACGGGCGTACGTGTTGCCGCGCACCACTCTCCTGTCGTACATCAGGTTGGCCCAGCGAGCGGGCTCCTTCACCCTGCAACGCCAAGCGCCCACGGCTGCGGTGAGGGAGGCGCACCCTCCAACTACGTCCCCGAAAGTCCCAAGTCCCGTGGCTCCCCCCACCCCGGGAACGGAGCCTGCTAGGGGCACTCACGGCTCGTCGGCCTCCAGCGGTGCTCGGTACTTGGGGCGGGCGGGCACGGCGCGGGGAGGGCTGCAGTAGGTGTAAGGCACGGCGGAGGCCGACGGCGGCGGGCGCAACGCAGGCAGCATGGCGGCGGGCGCAGGGGGCTCCCGCTCCCACAGCGGCGCGGCTGTAACGCGCCCAGGCAACCGTCTCTAGGCAACGCGGGGAAGGCGCTGCGCATGCGCGGGGCTGGAGGGCGCCGCTAACGGTGGCGGGGCGGGGTGCTGCGGGAGGCCGCTAGCTCGGCTCGGGTAGCACTGAGGCGTGGCCGCGCGGTGGCGCTGCCGTCCGTCCGCCGCTCGCGAGCCGCAAAGGGGCGGGGCGGTGTGTGGCTGGGCGGGAGGCTGTGCGTTAGCCTGGCTGCGGGGTCGGGGCGGGGGGAGGTGGCAGAAATCTGTTGGATCGCATGTTGGTGGCTGGTGTACCAGTGTCCCGAACGGCAGCCTGCAGTACTCTGTGTACACGCTTAGGGTCCATTGGTCTGGGAAGCTGTTGTGGGATTTGGGTACTGCAAAGATGTAGTATGGTAGGAAATAGGAGAGCGAGGCGGGCCCTTGGTATGACTTCTGTACTCCCTGCCGTAGAATCGTGGAATCACAGAATAGCTCAGGCTGGAAGGCACCTTAAAGTCCACCCGGCTCCAACCCCCTGCTGTGGGCAGGGTTGCCACCCACAGCTGCCCAGGGCCCATCCAACCTGACTCTGAACACCTCCACAGTTTATTTGGGCTGCCTGTGCTAGTGCCCCACTGCTCTGGGTAAAGATTGGTTGCCCAAGGATAAAGATACAGGTTGCCCAAGGAGGCTGTGGATGCCCCATCCCTGGAGGTGTACAAGGCCAGGCTGGATGTGGTTCTGGGCAGCCTGCTCTGGTGGTTGGTGACCCTGCACAGAGCAGGGGGGTTGAAACTAGGTGAGCATTGTGGTCCTTTTCAACCCAGGCCGTTCTGTGATTCCATGATTTCTTTCCTAACATCTAAGCTAAGTCTCCCCTCATCTAGTTTAAAGTCATTCCCCCTAATTCTATCACTATCAAACCATGTAAAAAGTCTCTCTCCTGCTTAAAAGCTTCCCTCTTTTGTACTGGAAATGCTGCATTAAGGTCTTCCTGGAGCCTTCTCTAAGCTGAACAAGCCCAACTCCCTCAGCCTTTCTTTACGAGGTGCTCCAGCCCTCTGATCATCTTCACGGCCCCTTGGGCCCCACTCCAGCAGCCCCACTCCTTCTTGAGCTGGGGGCCCCGGGCCTGGATGGAGTACTGCATGTGGGGCTCACAAGGGCAGAGCAGAGAAGGCCCTTCATCTCCCTGCTGCCACCCTTTGTATGATGCAGCCCAGGATACAGTTGCCCTTCTGGGCTGCAAGAGCAGCTGTTTGCCCACCAGTACCCCTGAGTTCTCCACAGGGCTGCTCTCAATGAGTTCTTCTCCTAGTCTGTACACCTATCTGGGATTGCCCTGACCCATGACAAGTAATGAGAACATGTTAACAGATTCTATATTAAAAAACAAACAAACAAAAAAACCACAACAACAACCTCATTAAAATATGCTAAGCAAAACCTAACAGCAATTAAGGGTTCCTGCTATAGTAATAGCTCTTTTTAAATCTTTGTGAGTAGCCTTGATTACTTCACTAATACTGAATATATAAAATATCCATGCCCTTTCTTTCTGGAATCCTTCTGGAAGTCATTTGTTTTGGTTATGCTGCTATGGCAGGTGTAGGTTCTCCACGTCAATACCTTATAGACAGTAACAAGTCTCAGGTATCAGAGAGTGTTTCCTTCATAGGAGGCCTACAAGGTGCAAGGGAACCAGGAGAATGCTGCAAGTGTCACGAGGAAGGGAGGTGAGAGCAGAACTGACAAAGCTAACCAGAACCAATGGAACCTAGGGTTTTTTACAATTCAACACAAAGGCACTGGAGGTACTCTGCAGGAGGGGCAGAGGGCTCTGGCTTTGCATGTTAGCAAATGCCAGAATGCCACTGTCTTCATGCAGACATCACAGAATCATAGAGCAGTCTAGACTGAAAAAGACTCTGGAGGTCTCTGGTGCACTCCTCCTGCCTAAGCAAGGACAAATTCAAAGATAGATCTGCTTGGTCAGGGCCTATCCTGGCCGATTTTGAAAGTCTCCAGGGAAGGAAGTGCTTGAGGTGGCATCAAAAGTCCTGAAAAGCATCATGCTGCTGCTAATCAATGCCCTGAGATATCTGGCAGAAATATAAAACACAGTTATAAGTGTGCTCTAATGCTCTTGGAGAACAATTAGCAGAAGTGCAGTGAAAGCTGCTTTTGACATGATGCAGTGACGGGGTCAGAGGGAATCAGCAATACTGCAGCAGTGCTGTGTCCTAGGGTAACAGAGGGTGTGACAGCCCTCAGATGGTGCCTTTGCTGATTTTTGTAGGCACTAAGTTTAATACATATAGGCCTAGTTCTGACAGTGAGATACTTAGCTTTAATAAAAATATGTACCAGCTTGCAAACCTTGACATGAGAGACATAGAAGGAAAAAAAAACCACCAATCTACTGGAGCAAAACTTGAATCCCAAAAGTGAGATTACTATTATTCTAAGCTGTGTTGGTGGTCGTGATCTGCAGTTTTCAAAAGGTAACATGCAGATCCTATTTCTCATGTCTTCAAGCCAAAATAGTTAAACTTCCTTTTTTTTTCTTTTCTGTAGCTCTGCAGCTTCCTTTTGACTTCAGTCCTGAACTCATGGGGCAAGCAGGGCTATGAAATTCCAGGGCTTAATTTTTCCCGTGCTCAGCAAGAAAAGATTTTGTTACTCATGATTTCAATATTAGCAAATACCATGTCACCTCTGACTATGAGCATCTTTTTCCCTCAAATTCCTGCAAAGTTTGCTTTTCAATATGACAAATTTCATACCCAGTGTCAAGAAAAAATCAGGGAAGAGTTGAAAAGCATTTTAGAGAGTGGAGCAAAGCACAGCATACTCAGTTTTAAACTATCATTTATTAAACTGCTAATTGGAAAATCAATTGTTGGTGACCTTCCTACTGAAACTCAAGTCAGTTGCACACTGCTACTCCCTCTCCAGCCTCTTTTTGCTTTCCTTGGTCAGGGTCTTCCTTTAACCCCAAATTGTGGGCAATTGCATGAAACCAGAGTAAGAAAAGACTGATCTGCTTCTGTTCCCCCTTCACTATAGCCTCTCTGTTTGTTCATCTTAAGACAAATTGCCCTTGATCATGTCTCTTGGAGTCATGGCAGGATCATCCTTTTTTCACTGAGGTTGAGCTGCACAGTCCAAAGCTGTGCTGGAGGCATATGGAAAATGCAGAGCCTGATACCAAATAACTTCACTACAATTCTCCAGTCTTTATCTCAAGGCCGACCTCCCTGAGCACTTATGGAGAAGTAGTGAATGCTCTGCTCTTTCACATGCTCAAAAACTTCTGAAGTGCTGTGTCTTCTGGCTGTATCTCTATTCCTTAGGGAAGACATGTATCTGTATGTCTTGTCATGTAATTTTCTGTAATTCTGGATATAAGGCTCTGCAGAATTCTGCAGTTGATGCTGTAGGTCACTTTCTCACCTCCTAACTGACTGCACTGAAGAGAACTGATTGGTGAATTGTATGCAAAGCTCTCCAGCTGTATGTATATGTGATCATGGCTTTATAATCGAACGAGAATTCACACTTGGAGGAGCAGGGGAAAAGGTGAGGCCATAAACTTGCTTTTCAGTGCTCGTGCCCTGTGTGTAATGAGGTTGAATTGCCTGGGCCAAGACTGTGCAGTAAGCATGAGAAAATACCGGCATATCTCCCATCTTTATCACAGGAACATCGTCTCTTGAAATCTGCTTGGGTTTGGCCTTAAAATATTTTTAAAAAACAAACAACAGTGTTTTATAATTTTGATCTTGATCTACAGCTGAAAGGCTGAAATCTGGACTGTAGCATCTGAGAAGGAAGTTGGTGAGAGGTTTGTGGATTGCAGGGAGAAAGAGTTTCAAGCAGCCACTGGGTCAGTTCTGTAAAAAGCTGATTGGCTAAAGAGGTTTTGTTTAGAAAGTGACAAATCTTTCCTAGAAACCTTTTCTTATTATGACCCAGCGGAGGAAGCAGTGCTCGATGGGTTCAGGAGTTGTAAATTGTTTGTTCAAACTCACATGCTGGGTTAGAAACAGAAAAGGATCTGTGATCTGCTCTCCTCTTGCAGAAGCTTCACTCAGAAGTAGAATTCAATTGGTGTAATTGTCATAGCAAATGAAAAGGATTTATTTAAAATTATAAGTGATACTTTCTATAAGGGGGACAAAAAGGACTACATAATTAGTGACTCTTAGTAGCAGAGGAAAAAAAAAAAACCAAACATTAAAAAAGCAGCTGGCTGTGTATATGAAAGTCAGCTGCCAATATGAAGATTGTATCACTTATCCAAAGCCCTTTTCCCCTGGATTTTTCCCAGGGTTATCGTCTGTCTGTTTGAAAAGTTCCTTCCCTTTGTGAATAACCTTCCCCACTGTTCTGATGACACGTGTGATAAGGACTGACTGCTGAGAAAATTCAGAGAAAAATGTAACCAGAGCGCCTAACCAAGGTGGCTTCCTTTTCCTGTAGTCGGAAATTGTCCTCGTGGAGGCACATGACAACCACAGCTCCTGCTGTCTGCCTAAAGCTAGCAGTTCAACAGTGTGTTAAAATCACCTTAGTTTTGCAGCTGGATGTGATCAGTTCTGGAGATGAAATGCTTGCTGGATCAGACAGTGAACCAAGCAAACTTCAAAGCTAACTTGCTTAATCTCCTGGCTGAATTTCCGAGTGAAATTAGTGAATGTTTCTATACTGCTTTCCATGTGAGACAAACATATTCTGCTATGCGGAAGGAAAGTGGACCAAGAAAGCAGCTTTTCATGCCTTTCCATTCAGCTCTCGCTGCCCCTTGGCAGTGCAAAGCAGTGCAGAAGCCGGCCTGCTGTGTAAAACGTCATAGCAGACAGGTTGAACAAAAATGCAAAATTCTATGAAGACATTTGAAAGCATCATATTTTCCTGAGAGAGCAAATACAGTAATGGATTGAAGGGAAGAAAGATCATGCTACATTCAC